ATGTAGAGGAAGAGAAGGAGGAGGAGGGGGGGGGGGGGGGGGGGGAACGTGTGGCACAGGAGAGGAGGAGACCCTGCATGAAAATGGCAATAAAGCCACATGACTAGAAGCCAGAGTGAAACAGGCACAGAGAGACAGGAAATTTAGGGAGTTCAGTCTACCATCTGCTATGTAAAAAAAGTTAAGGCTAAAGAATTTCTGCGCGTTAGACCTCTCTCCTGTAACAGCTGTTTTGATGCAATAATCTTTTTCGGAGAAGACTAGAAGTAACAAGACAAGGCAGGTATACAAAACTTTTTATTGACAACAGAACAATAGAGAGGAACGTCACCACTTCCCATTCCTCAGGAATGTCTCCATTTCACAGTCAGTCTGCCAGAAGTATACTTTCATGGTAACAAGCAACACGAAGGCATGGAGCTGTCTATAATCTCAAGAAAAATGTTTCATCAGTGCAGTGCAAAGGGACCGACGTTGTGCAAGTGTGCAGCAGGCCCTGTCACAACACAAACATGGCAGGCAACTGTATTATGCAGAGCCAACAGGCACAGACACGAAGCAGTTAGAAGCCTCAAATTATCTCCGTTATTTCCATCTAAGGGCAATACCTGAAGTGCTGCTCCATCCATATTCTGTTTCAGAAGTGAATACTTTGTTCCCTCGCTCCTTTTGCTTCCCCTGTCCTCAAAGATGTTAATACTTCCAACTGAATGGTACCGTGTCAGAGAATGCCCGAGCTTTTACATTTTGCTGCCTCATACCAGTTCATGCATGCACTTGCGTTTACTTTCAGAAGCTTACATTGACATAAAGAAGGGAAAAAAAATGTGCTGCATAAGAATAAAAGGATTCAGTTGTTAATGCTTCCTTGCTAACAAAAATATTTGGTAGTTGTTGAAGACACTCCTTGTAAGGTCATTTTTATAAAGTACGTATGCAGTCTACTTAACGTTTTAAAGAAACTGCATGTCAGACTCTTAACATCATTTCACATACTCTGAAATTAAATTTGAACTGAGATTCAATCTAAACAACAAAATATCTTAATTTTAGCTTTCACAGTACACAGAACTGCATGCTGAGTGCAAGACGAAAGCCCTCTTTCTCCTGCAAAAGTTTCCTCTGCCTGCAAAACTGTACTGGGACCCCTGTGTAGTAGCTTATACACTTATTAATTTATCATGTTTTTCCTTTACTTAGTGGATGTGCCTCTGGATGTGTGAGCTGGTTGTTAAAGTGCTTTAAAATAAAACAAAACCCCCAACAAAAGAAAACATCCCTCAAAAAACCACAACAGGTGCGAGAATTTTATCTGAAGGACTTTGTACAGCATTTACAATGTTAGCATAAAGCATCTGAAACATGAGCATTCCCTGCAGACTGATGCAGTGCAAGCAGTCTCATACATTAGATACTGCAATTCCTCTGGATTCAAGATGCACAATACTTACAAAAACAACCCTAGAAGCACAGACAAATGCTGGTGGCTCTTCCTCTTCTTTTTAGAAACAATAAAAAAAATCTGCATTACTCTTTCATAATTTAAATACATAAGTAATCTCCACTTTTATTACTTCATGACAATGACTTCAAATTTACATTATTTTAAGTACCGTCATAATAGCTCCATGTATAATACAGATATTTGCTGATATCCTGTCAGAAAATTAAAAAACAAAACAAAAAACCAACCTTCCACTATATAAAAAAAATTATGCTGGAAAGACAAGAACACGGAACAGGGACTTGGTACAGACTATGATTTCAGTTTTATATCAACCACAGTTAACCCAAAATTAACAGATACACAGCGATATTCAAAAGCAGTGCAAATATCTTTGGAGGTTAGAATAAAATTATACTACAAGAACATAAGACAGAAGAAAATAAAAGGCAAGTACTTCAAGTACAGGAACCAGTCTCTGTGAGGTCCATCTTAGTGTTAGCTGGGAGTTCCTTTTCCCATCTTACTTTTTCCTCTGAAACACATTCGCCAACATTGCACCTGATGTAGTCAGCTGGCCCATTTTGTTCAAAAACTTGGTCTTTGTATCTTCACTCACAAGGCTCGCTGCAATCGACATTGAGCTAGGAAAGTAAAAAATTCAGTGACATAAGACGACAAAGAAAAAAGAACACTGTTCTGTTTTTTAATAAGCAACTGCATTGTCCTTGCATTTTAGAGGTTTCAAGATCACAACAGACCAGTCCATCAAGAAGAACTGAAAAACCATCACCACCAAGCCCAAATACACACTGTTAAATGAATTATCATGCCCTCACAGTCCTAGTGAAAAGCTGCGAACTATTTTTCTGCACACTAGTTTTTACTGCCTTTAGAAGTCACCGCGTTAGCATTTGTTAGCTATTTGAAAGTTGCTCTAGTGACAAATACCTCTGTAAAAGATTGGCTTTACCTTCTCACTGGAAATGTCAATCCTTGTTTATTTAATATAAGAACAACAGTACTGGTTCAGACCAAGGATCTATCTAGCCCAAGTATCCTGTCTCCAACAGTGACCATTAGCAGACATGTAGGGAAGAGTAAAAGCAAGGTAAGTACAAAACGGTGACCTCTCTCCTTAATTCCCAACTCTCTTATTTTCCAAATATTTCCACCTGAGCAGAGTTTAAAATTGGTGTGGACTGTCAGTCTAGTAACTCCGAATGAATCTTTATTTTGTATTACTTGTTCAGCTTTCCCTCGATCCCCTTGTAAATTTCTTGTAACCCTCACCCTTGGGCACTGAGTCCCACTAGGTCTTCCCCTGGCTGGGTAAAGAGCTTTCTCCTTCTGTCTGTTGTGAATGTGACTCCTGCTACCTTTGCTTGAGTGTTCCTACTTCGTACGTGCTAGAGAAGACAACGGGGAGTCCACATTTTTCCCCACAAACCGGACTAGAAGGAGCAAGCCAATTGATGCTGAACCTACAAGATGCTACAACTTCAAAAAACATGTTAAGAAATTATCCCAATGCTGCAAAATTAACTGACTTTTTTTTTTTTTTTTAAATTTACAACATATCAGTGAGCTCAACTTCATATATATGTAACTGTTTAGCATAGTAGGAGTAATCTGTCTCAAGACAAGAGTGCAACAAGGCAAACGTATAATAGGACGAACATTAATTCCATTAATTCCATGCTTCCTATATTTGTAGTATAATGTAGTATAATTTGTAGTAAATGGCAAACATGTTTTTCAACATTAGATAGGGCCAATTTTACAAAACATTACCAGTGAAATTCTCCCTTGTGAGCTCTGTATGGACTCTACGTTTCAAAATTATACCTAAGATCACAAGATCCGTCTTACTGGCACAGGCCAGCTTCCAGGAACTGACTTTTCAGTCTGCAAGGTTATAAAAGGTTCTGTTAGACACTTTTGCATCAAGGCAGGTCAAGTTACAGTTAACTCCAAATGGCTTCAACAGAATTTGAATTATTTCTTCCAAGGTAGCAGGGATGCATTCAGTATTTTTTCCCCATTTCATACCACAAAGAAAGGTGCTTAGCAGTAACGAATTCTGGTTCTTTTTAAACAGAGTACTTGAAAAAACAAAGGGAAGCTTCTCACTAAAGCTGTACTGTGGATCTACAGGCAGCTTAATGGTATCATAACTATATCCCTTCAAATGTATCCCCCACTCCTATTTTTTAAGCTGACGTGACTCCCTGTCTCCTGCATTTCCACAGTGCCTAACGGACCGAGATCCTTCAAGGGGCTTTAGGCATGCCTCACACAGCATACCTAAGAGTATCACAAAACACACTCCTAGGTATTTTTTTCAGTACATCATCTATTAATGGAACAGGTTACTGAAATAAATCATCTCATTTTAAATCTTATTATTAGCTGGTATTTTCTGAAAGCTCTGTGAAGTTCCTCATTATCAAATATTCAGTGTTTAAGCATAATTTTATTGAAAGTATGATGTCTGAATTTTTAGTAAAGTTTAAAATTTTGAAAATTGTTCTTAGGTTTTTTCTCTTTTTAGACAACATCTGATTATAATTGACATTTTAAAAATAATCTTTTTATTCTATTTAGCAGCCAGTGATGATGACCTACAGCTGTTTTGAAATGATTTATAAACTTTTAAAGTGAACTATTTCTTTCAGGCACAATCACATAGCCAGACATCTTTGGCTTGATTAAACATCTACAGTCAACTAGGGAATTGCATATTTTCAGTTGATAAAACTTAGCAGCTAAGTTACTACTACTGTAAGATGGATTTCTTGTGCAAGTTCCCTTGATTTCATGATAAAGCAAGGGCATATAAATTATGTAAATAACAGTTTATACTCGCTATCAGCTGGTTAACAACCAGAAGCTATTCCAGCTATTATGTATCCTAGAATTTTGTGTAACTAGGGAAAAGGATTTGGGAAATTTAGTACATACCACGCATTAGCAACATTAAGAAAATAAAATTGCTTACTTCAGAGAAGAAAGCCTAGCAACTGGTGACAAACCTGTAGTTTTAAGCAAACGGTGCTGTCATTATTCTAACGATCCTGAATAAGTTTGAGGAAAACCAGGAAATGTTCACTTGACTTTCAAAACAGTTTTGGGGGATATCAACCATCTGATGTTAAAAATTAAGAACTGGAGTGTCTAGAAGTTCATGTTTTCTAATATTACATTACTGTAAATAGATAATCCACGACACTTGACATACTTAAAAGTTTAAATATGCCCTAAAAGTACTTCTATGGTTATACAAATTGAACATTTAAACATAATAAAAGCAATATGAAATCAAATAAATTGAGTCTCATGTCTTTAAAAAATAATCAGAGAAACCAACAAGGCAATAACTTATCTTGCTTGAAACAAGTAGTCCTATAGAAAAGTCCTTGCATTTACTCATTAAAAAAAAAAAAAAAAGGCAACAACAAACAAACCCACAAACAAAAATAATGTGTAAACATCAAATTTTTGACCAGTGTCTAGATGAATTACATGCTACACAGATTTCTGCCTGTTTTACAGGGAAGCTTTAGGCCAAAACAAACATCCATGCTGGACATTTTATAAAAATCAGTTTGTAACATAAGTTGTTACCCAAGATTGAAATACCTTGTTAATTGCTAAAGAAAATGTTTAACAAAAGTGGGTATCAAATATTTAAAAAGACAAAGTTCAATCTTTTTTTTTTTTTTAAACTATTTCTGTCACCCCATATTATTTGACCAACCTTTTCTAACAATAAGGGGCAAAGACAAGATAAAGAACAGCATCTTATGATTGCTTTTGCATCTAGTTTTATTTCTCTGCATGCATTCTCATGTTGGTAACAAAAAAAAAATCAGTGATTTATCTCCTAGCTGCATTTAAATCCTTCGTCAAATATATATTTAACACTAAAATTGGGAACTGAAATTGGCAAGGGCTTAGCAAGAAAAGGCGATACTCATGTACATGAAAAGGTCATTTCTTCAGTGGTAAAATATTTTGTGTTCATTTTGTACAGTAAAATATTGCAACCGTAGTCTGATTTTTAATAAGAAAGGGGAAGGCTAATTAAAGAATGAAGGAACACATTGTGAAGACTTATCCTTTTCAAATCTTACAGTTTTCAGCAGCTGCATTCTAAAAGAAAATTCACTGGATGTTGTATCATATTTGCATTTATCTGTTTCTACAGTGGCTTAATAGGACTAACTGTGATTTCACAATATTTTCATAAGAGGGACTGTAAATAATACAGACCTCTTACATTTAGGTTAACATGTCTCCACTGATACAAGCTAAAGCAAGGTAAGTCTAAACCCTATGTGAAATTAAAGTTATCACTCAAACTCTAGCCACGCAGAGAACAGCTTTGATGAACTAAATAGGTTAAAACATTTGAGAGGTGCAAAAGCACACATTTGAAAAATAAAAATTAAAAATACTGTCCAACTGAAGAGCACCACTTGAGAATTAGGAAGAGCTCAACCAAGGAATTTTGTTTCATGACCTTAGGTTTCACAGTTCAGTTAATGCAGGTAAAATAATAAAGAACCTTCACGTTAAGGTTAATAGTGTTCTTTAAAGAGACCAGTTTGATATTGCGTACATTTGCTGCATTCTGCGAGAGAAAAAAATTTCTTTCAGAATACAATTGCCTGAGAAGGAATCAATTTCATATTTTCTAATGAACTCTCCTAAAAGGCTGTCAAGAAGTTGCTCAAGAAGCAACAAATTAATTTACTTCAAAAAATGTTTATCAGACATAAAATTCTAATCTTATATATTTAGATACATATGCTGCTTCTATTCTTTTCCTTACATAGTCAAAGTCTGAGGTGGTGGCTTTTTTATTGCACAAAGCATTGGGTCCATAAAACCCAGGCAGGGGAAATATTTGCAAAGTAATAGATGGCCATGCATGCAACTGATTCTAATGAATCAACTTGTTAGTCAAAATATTAAGTCATTGCTTATGTGGAGGGATGTCCTTGCACAGATTGGCTGGCGAGAGTCTATAGCAATTGCTTAACATCAGATCTGCAGAGTCTGGCTGTTAATTCTGCCTTATCACAACTACCTATTGGGTATCTGCTACGTAAGGTACATAGTACAGGGAAGATCTTGATAAAACGAATGCTTACTTGCAAAAAGAAGGATGGGTCTAATGGGGCAACTAGCAAGTTTCTATCTTGCCAAGAATCATTATTGGTAGGTTATTTTCTGAGGGAATACCTGGCTTAAGTGACAACCATTAATGTAGCTGAAGGCAAGCTAAGCGTTCACCATTCTTTAAAAATCAAAAGCAAATACACAGCTGCTGAAGAACCTGAAGGATACAGGAAGGGGATGGGCATTCAGAGTATGGCTACTGGGGGGACACATAGGTATGCATGCCAGAAAGCTCCCTTTAAGAGAAGGAAGAAAGGATAAGGGCAAAAGTACAAAGCTTGAGGAAGTAACATAGCGAAGCCCTGGGAAAAAACAACAGCATGAACGAATGCATTTTTTCATTCTTGACTGACTAGCTATTTATGTTGCAAGCAAGGGATATTCCTGTGGAGTGATTAAGTCAAATATGTTGTTATTCTGCGAATAACTAATATGTCAAAGAAATAACTATTTCATCATGAAAATAGCCACTCAACTGGAATACCCTTAGTCAGTACAGTCCCTACTTCATAATATTGCCACATGAACAGGAAAGAGGAAAGAAGGTGACTGACAGTGCATTCTTCAGATCTTAAAGGTTTTGTATTTCTTCTCCCTTAGACAGGACTTCTATATGACTAGACAGAACCAACTACCTTACTTGAACAGATACACTAGAGACTGTGATTTGTTGTAGAACCTGGACATTTTTAGCCTTAAAATTATTTCACTTCCAAAGTCTAAAGTTCCTTTCTAGTACACCTTTAAGAGTTGTCCTGATGCTCATGTCTCAAATGGATTCAGTTCTTACTACACTCCATTCATCATCAACTACACCAGTAAACAAGCTAATTACCACTAGTAAAGCCTGAGATACTTTATTTGGTGCATGAGAGACCATCTTTTTCCACACCATGTCTCTTCTGTTCAATTCTTTCACACCTTTTCTATTTCAGTCATTTTCAAACTACCGGTTGTTTCCAGGATTTTGCCTGAGCTCTTTCAAGAAGTAAATTCTATCAATCTGTTACTGATATGGAAGCATGACATAAACGAGTTTCAGTAATTGTCTTGATTCCCATGGCAAGGTATCAGGACTGAGGACAGATTCTCTTTTTCAGATACCTACTGTTTCTTCTCAAACTCTTCCTGGCAAAACTGCTAAGGATTCATTAAGTTATATAATAATCCATGAGAAGTTACCTGCTGGTATGCCATTCCAGGCAACAAGAAGGCAAAAGAACACATACACCTCATCATACTGATGCTTAGCTTTCCAAATTTGTGGGTCTGTTAGCTTCTTTTGTTATCAGGAGACACACACACGATACCACCTCTACCACATGAGGCAAATTGATGCATGTACACCATGTGTCCAATGCCTCACTGGAGAGCTGGGTTTACTGTGCCTTTGTAGAACGGGTGTTTTACTGAAGTGCAACATAAGTAGCATTTTCCCAAAGCCAACACATTTACTTAACAGCGTATTCACGCAGGTAGGTCAGTTTGTACACTGGAGAAACTGTTCTCGTGTGCACTAGTCACATGTAAGCAAAGACGGCAGCCTGGAGCAGGTCATTACCACGACCAGAACAATTCCTTCAGCCTGCAGGCCACCCCCATGAAAGAGGGTTGCAAGGTGCATGCCACATGTGGTGCTCTAAGCACTTGGGCCAAGCACTCCTTGCTTTCTCAGATTGAGGACAGAAATTCAATTACTGCTTTAAATGGATAAAAATTTAAGAAGAAAGTAATGGGTTGTCCTGTGTTTTACACTGGAGACAGAAACAATCACAAACGAAATTAAAGTTCCTAAAACCTGCTTTCAAATACAGAATATGTCAGTGCGGGATTTCTGGTCAGAAGCCTTGGACACCATTATGGAATAGACTCTGCAGAACATTAATCTGAAGGCACAGAAAAAAGAGAAGTGGAAGTCTTACCCCTGCGGTTCTTGGACAGTCTTGTTTTCCACTTTCTGTTCACACTCTTTTATCATGGAGCTTAAAATAACCTAAGACACATAAGGAAGAGATATACATGACATTTTTTCTTTGGCATTAATGTTTAGTATGAAATCTGCTCTGCAATGAATTCTGACATTAGTAGAACTATTTAAAAAGTTTCTCTGTTGTTTTTCAAGTGCATTTAAATTCCAGCTATCTGATAATATGTTGTGGCTAGAAACAACAAAACCATTCAAAATACTTTAAGGAAGAAAATGTTTTTGAAGTAGTTACAGGAGTTCAAGACTCTCTTCTGCTTCTCCTGGCTTTTTAAAATACAGCTAAAGCAAACTCACTTCTGTGACACACCTCCTTATCTTCCTTTTTTCAAACAATACTTTCATTTATTAGCAATTAACTTTGACATACATTCACCTTCCCTCTATTTTCCTTTAGAGAGTTTTCAAGTACCTTTTAAAATGCGTATCTTTACCAACATTATGCATGAAAGAAAAAGCAAGGAAAGAAAAGAAATAAGCGTGATGGCATCCTGAGACAACACCTTCATGGAAAATTTCACTGGTGTCTCCCAGGGTTTTTATGAATCAAGGCTTTTTTTCCCCCTACTGAAGCGATTGCAGCGTTAAAGGTTTCTGCACAATATTTAAGACTAGAAGCACCCCCACACTGACATTTTACATTTCTCTAGCATACCAAAAATAAAGGAATGTTTCCCAATAGCAGGCTTTGAAAGAAATCATACAATTCATTGGACAGGTATACAACTCCCTGCTCTGCCCACAACAGTACTGTTTTAACACATTAAGACAAAAGCATTTGAAACACTTAGGCAAAGCAGTTGCAATGCAGAGTGTGAAACTATAAACGTACACACCCCCCCCCCACCTCCCCCCCGCCACCGCCGAAATAGAGACTTTCTCTGCTCACAGCTCAGGAAAAAGCTAAGCACTTTCTCTGAGACACTAAACTTAAAATCTCAAAGCTACAAGCAACTGAAATTAATAGTGTCTTACCAAAACCTGAATATATACAATAGACGAAAAAACAAAACCTAATTGCAATCTCTAAAATACAGATCAGTCACTAATGGTTACTACCAAGTGATAACTATTTACAGATGTATTTAAATACATAAAAAAGCTGGTTTCTGTCAAATCCCTATTAGACAGCTGCAGCACAAAATATCCTTTAAAACCATTTATTACACTGATAAGATGTGGCCTGGTCTGCAGATATGTGCCATTGTTCACTCTACTTCTCCAAAAGTATTACTTCAACATTTGAAACAGTTTGGGTAGCAGGTATTATATACCCTTATATACCCTTGAATGTTTCAGAAAGCAGCATTCAAACCTGTGTACGAGTCTAAGAGGACTACAACTCTTACTGCTAAATTTGCTGTCCTTCATTTGCATAAAATCTTATGCAAGTACTTGAACTCAAGAGTACAGAGGTACGAGAGAAATGCATTCAGAATTCCAGTGAAAAAGCAAGCTTTTCTTTTCAAAAGAAAACTGAAATTTCTAAGCACAGCGGCCATCACTTTTGTTACTTAGCATTTCTACCTGTACAATGGAGCACTTCTACATTTTTGTGCATCTATCTGAATCTAGATGTTCCAAGTATCAACAATATGAAGTCTTGATCAAGGGGGAGAATAATTCAGCAAGCACTCGGAACCATTTGAATACCAGAATGGAGCTCCCATCCATTGCACAGCTCCTTCTGGGAAGGCTGCATAATTCTTGGATGAAGTGGAGCAATTCTTCACTCTTCCCCAAATTAATTTGTCTTAAAGTTCAGGGTGAAACAGAGGAAAGGTATAAATATAATATCACATGGCAATTTTCCATTATGATATTGCACATACTGCTCACACCTCTTCCCTTGGGTTCTCTTTGTTTGGTCATAGGACTGACTATGAAGTCATTTAGACCTCCTTTAAGAAGGATATTTCAGAGATTTAAATGTCTCTAAATATAGTTACAAGACATAACACGTGCTTAAGTATTATAAACAATACTGCAGATGGACTAAATATTTTTATCAAGTACTGATTATATCTCACTATCATGCAACTCACAATCCCATTATTCTGAAATGGAAATAGAAGGCAAGTGAAGAAGGGAGAAGAAGGGACTTGACATGGAATTAGAGATGCTGGCAAAGTATTTGAAATGTCTGCACAAGGTGAAATGTTTATTTTAAAGATGAGAGGGTCTGGCTTAAATGCCCAACTTGCACTTTTGTTTATATGAATGAAAGGAAAGCAAATATGAGGGATAAGTGGTAAACGCTGCTTGACAGGATCACAAGCCAATCCCGCAAATGTTACAATTCCAAGATGAGCATAAACTCTGTACTGATGTTAGAGCCACAAGAGCTAAGGCCCTGTGAATGAGAAAATGTGTTTTTGTAACTGATATGCCATTTGAATCGTGAATAACACCACGGTGACCAAAATAAGAAAAGGGTTAATTCTGTTTATGCAAATGTCTAATTATTTGAAACAGTAAATCACATTTACTTCAGAAAACTCAATTTTAAGACAGAAGGCTTGAAAGACAGACACTAGAACTAACTGGGCCTCAGAGGTCTCTATCATGGCGCCTACAAACATCCTGTTGTAGCAAGGAGCTGATTAAGCACCAGATTTCCATTTCTACAGTAAAAGCTGTAGTGAGTTTTCTAACCCACTGGAGCAGGAGTAAATATCTTTAAATTTATGTTTCTCTCTGGCTAAAACAATAAAGCACTTGGCATCATGCCTGAAGCCAATTAATCACAGTGATGCAGAATGTGGTAAAAGAGGATTGAGAGCTGTATTTATTTATTTATTTATTTTTAATCCTATTTAAGCCCTCAGTTCCTTCTCTGGCTACAAAACTCAAACTCAATCAAATAAGCTCTTTTGTGCTAACTCAGGGCATCTTTTGAACTTACTGTGCCCTTAAACCTTAGAAGTTGCACTAACTACTATATAAAAACAAAGTATTTGTATTTGTACCAGTTATACCATTAGTGAATATGACAGAACAAAGAAAATGAAATTAAATCCAACTTTTGCCTACTGCAGCTTTCAGATTTATTCTTAGACTTCCCAAAACACAATACATCTCCCAGCTCACTCTGAATACAGAGCATCATCAATGCCAGATCTCATCCAGGGCTGCCTGTGGTAAGGAAGTACAATTCTTTTGCCTTTGACTGATGCACTGTTGTCCCTTCTGACTCAGCCCTCTGAAGTCAGATTCTTTCCTTTTAGGCCTGAAAGTTCCTCAAATTAATTCAACTCCAGTTCCACATACTGTAAATTATATAAAGTAATATAATAATATACGGAAAGTAAAAGAATGAGACTATAGGCTATTAGACTGAAAATATAACTGAAGAAGGGACTTTGTTACCAAGTATAAAAACTTAGAACTCCTAGAAGAATATAGCTGTCTCAATTAAGTCACTTTTGTAACCATAAGGAAAAGAAATTACTTTTCTCAAGTACAAAGTAATCCATGAAAGTGCAGTATTAACATTTTGATTAAATCTTTTCCTCCATCTCTTGAAATGTTCACACTGTCAAGATTTTCCCAACATGCAACTAAACTACATCTCTTGTTTTCAGCTACTGACTTAATATCTATGTGTTTCAATGTCTGTTAGTGTTCACCCTCTTCAAGTATTTACAAAAAAGTGCACGGACACATGGCCAAGATTTTCAAGTTTCTCAAGTCAGCTACTCCTGCTAACTCTTTTCTTTTGCTACTTTCTGTAAGCTCCTTCTACCAGAGGAGATCTTGTTAGCTTCTGTGTTGTCCTGTCTACTTATTATAATCTGCTTTTTACAATTCACACAAGCACAGAATGGTTGAGGTTGGACGTCCCTTGGTCCAACCCCCTGCTCAAGCAGGGCCACCTACAGCTGGTTGCCCAAGACCTTGTCTAGACAGCTTTTAAATATCTCCAAGGATGGAGACTCCACCACCCCTCTGGGCAACCTGTGCCAGTGCTTGGTCACCATCACAGTAAAAAAGTGTTTCCTGATGTACAGAGGGAACCTCCTGTGTTTCACTTTGTGCCCACTGCCTCTGGTCCTGTCACTGGGCACCACTGAGAAGAGCCCGGCTCAATCCTCTTTGCACCCTCCCTTCAGGTATTTATAAGCCTTGACGAGATCCCCCTGAGCCTTCTCCTCTCCAGGCTGAACAGTCCCAGCTCTCTCAGCCTCTCCTCCTATGAGAGATGCTCCAGTCCCTTCATCTTCATGGCCCTTCACTGGACTCTCTCCAGTAGGTCCATGCTTCTGTACTGGGGAGCCCAGAACTGGACACAGTACTCCAGATATGAAGTGCATCCCATGTATTTCAGGACTACACTTTCCTCATCTTTGCCTATCATTTCTCTCCTGCACTCCACCAATTTTCATCTGCATTTCCTTGGATATATTGTGGCCATTGATTTTAGTGTATCCTTGTTTTGATGAAAAAACGGATGGTAAAAACATTTCCTTTTTCTTAAGTGTACAAAGATCTCTTTTTCTACATGCACTTCTGACAGTTGAATATTTCTCTGCAGAGGTCCTCAGCTTTGAAATACATTTTTAAAGATTTTACTGTTTTTTAAATCTTGAAACCTATTCCTCATCAAAAAAAAACGTCAATGATACGTTTTGATACCACTTATGAGTAGCTCTCCTTAACTTTTTGTTTTAAATACCACTACATCTCAACTTTTGCTGCCACCTGCATCTCATACTCAGTTAGTAAACATAGCTACTCACCTCATGCTCTGGTGAGAGATGTTCCATGTCAGTTCGTAAACACTTAAGTCCTGGTAAAAAGTGATTGACCATTAAATCCTCTGAAATAACTAAAAACCAGGTTGTTAAGGTTTTATAAGGATTTTCTTCTGAAATTATACCATTTTTTTTCTGTCTTCTGATAATGTTATTGTACTGAACACAGGGACAAGCTACAGCAGCAAAATCCAAGAAAACAGAACAGCATTTGGCACTTCATGACTAACAAAGAAGAAAAAAGACCTTAAATATGTTTAACTTCATATATCCATACCATTCTTCTAATATTTTTTTCTTAATTTACTGGTTTAAGATCAAGGGCTTTGTTTTTGCAGCTTTTTTTTTAAAGTATCTATCAGTTCCACTGTATTGGGCCTGGCTGAGATGGAGTTAATTTTCCCCATAGCAGCCCTCATTGTGCTGTGCTTTGTATTGGTAGCTAGAAAGGTGTTGATACCACACCAGTGTTTTGGCTACTGCTGAGCAGTGCTCCCACAACATCA